ACCCCCACCCCCCCGGAACTAAAGGGCATTTTTACACATGCAAGTGCTGCAGTGCCTGGCACTCTGAAAAGCACCCAGCGCTGCAATGCTTGCAGCTGTATAAGCAGTAAAATGCACTTCAGCGCCAAGAAAATGGCAGTGGTGTGCTTTTGAACTAACACACACAGACAGTGCTTTAATTCAAAAGTGTACCACCACCATTTTCTGCACACTGACATGCATTTCGCCACCTATACAACCAAGCAACGCAGTGCAATGTCGCAGGACCAAAAAGCATGTGTATAAATGCCCACAGTGGCTACGGAGGTGAGAAGGCAACCAGTCTGTTAGCCCTGTGCACATTAGTTTTGTACTTGGTTTAACCAGACACTATGGAAAGGTTTCCAGCTAAAAACTGACTTTCCATTTCTCCCAGGACAATGCCTTTTATTCTGGGATCTTACATTTACACAAGCCCATTGTCCCACTTTAATTACCTGTGAAATATGGAAATAATGCTTCCCATCCACATCCTATTCAAAGCTAATTCAAGTAAATTGCCATTCAAAGGGTGTGAGTAAATGACTTCCCCCCCACCCCTGCCCCCAACTTCCCCTTCTGCTGCGACTCAAAGACCAACCAGTCAGACCCCACCAAGATAAACCTAACATCTGGTTTTACCAACCCTATCTGTTTGTATTTGCAAACTCAATAGACACAGAATACTTTACAAGAGATGACGCATGGGCTATCCACAAACCAAGCAGGCATTTGTCTTCAAACTGTCAAAGAAAATCTCTGGGGTATAGGGCAGTGATTTTCAACTTTCATTTGTGGACCCCTAAATAGTTTTGAATGGAGGTGCAGACCCCTCTGAATTGTAAATGTGGGTACACTTTTATTGAAGCTAGTCATCTTGTATCGACCCCTTAGACCAGAGAGTTTCCCAAACTTTTTCTTATTGTGTACCTCCTTTCAGATTTACCAGCTGCCCGTGTACCCCCTACCAGCATACATTTTATATTTTAATACCTTAAATACAAGTTATTATAATGAAAATTAAATCTGCCATTACACAATTTCTCCTGCGTCCCACCCCCTCACCCCACAGATGTCTTGCATACCACCCCCCAGGGGTACACATACCAGAGTTTGGGAACCCCTGCCTTAGGTTGAAAACCACTGGTAGATAGGGGTTACTACTAGGTAGGTCTCCTACCTTTGTAGGCCATCCTTCAAAAAGATTATTTGCCTTCCCAATGAGCCAAGGGTTGTGTAGAAACAAGAGGTTGAATCAGAACTCCCAAACCCTGCCTTAAAAAAAAGGGCAACAGCAATTTAAGCAAGTCCCAAGTCAACCCTTTTCTAACTATCTAGAGCTCATGGTTTATAATGTGTTGAATGCCAAGGAAGAAATTTCAGAGAAAAAGCAACATGTAGCAGTCCCCATGGAATGATTGCCCCTTTCTTGATGTTTAGAGGACACTGTTCAACAGGAGTTAAGCATTTGTTGCTGATGCTAGAAAATCTGAAGTACTGTGACTATTAGTGAGCTCATCTATCAGCTCATGTTGACAAGCTTTGTATCCCATAGTCCAATGACCTACTTTAAGTATTTCTTTCTGTCCCCTCTGCACAAAAGACATCTAAAAGATTCAGGCAGGGAGGCCAAATGTCATGCTTTAGTCAAGGCCCCACATACTCCACAGCAAAGCTTGACCTCAATTCTGTAGAAAAACCCTATATTGCAGGGCCTAAGAAATATTCAGCAGTTTCAGATCAATTTTAATTTGCAGCTTTTATTAAAGTAAATCATTCACCAGTGTCTCTCCCTGTTGCTGAACTGTTTTATATTAAAGTGATGCTGTTCTGAATGTTAATTTGCTACAGAATTATGCATTAGAAATGCCTAACTACTGTAGAAGTTGCCAGGAGAAGCCAGCGCTTTTGGCAGGTAAGCAGACTCCGCTGGAACTTGTAGCACTTAGGAAATTGAGAGGCTGCTTAGTTTTCTGGGATAAGCATATAAGCAGAATGCTAGAGTGGCCAGTAATGAACTAGACAAGGGTTTCAATAAAAATTGTATGTTTAAAGGTCCAAGTTAAATGGAGCAATTCTCACCTCTGAAAAGAATGGTTTCCTTCCAGTTCGTGTCTCAAGTGGGCAGGGAAGGCTAGCTCCTTAAGAACTAAAAACTTGTGTTAGTTCAAATCAGGATGCTGCCACAAGGGATTAATTCTACTTCAGTGAAGCCACTAAGTGCACAAAGCTGCCATTTTAGAATAGTTCCTGTATGGTCATGAGCAGGCCTAACATCATGGAGAGGGTGCATACATCTTTCTGTGCTATGGTAAGCTCAAGAAGGGGATTTAGAATCGATCCTGCAAAGTGGATGGTTTTTTAATTCTACTGAGCATCTCAGAGTACTGTATTTCCACTCATTCCATCTCAGCACCAATTTAGAAGACAGATATTACACACAGATGAGAAAACTGAGGTACAGATGAAGGGACCCTACCAAGATCATACAGCACATCCATGGCAAGTAGAAATTGAAACCATAACTGTAACAATATAGTTCCAATAGATCTTAGCATTATACACAGCATCTCCTTCTTCAAAAGGTCCATATTAAGGAAGTGTTGTATATGGCACAGGGATTCAGCCTCCCCAATAAGATTGAAGACTAGTTCTATGGAAGCCACTGCTACCGAGTTGCATAAAACTTGCAAACCCACTGCTAGTGCTGGATCCTCAGTGGGTGCGTCTACACGTTCACTAATGCACCTTTGCTACTGTGCATTGTTTAGCATCTCTAATACAAGGTACTACATAAGGGTGCATTAGCCCACACTATTGCACAGTAGTAAAGGCAAATTTTTTTTGTGATGCTAAATATGCAGGAGACTAATGTTACTGTGCATTAGTACGTTTTTTTGCCATGATGCATTAATACGCAATAGAATAGACTACTGCACATTACAGCATCTCAGATAGATTCATCCAGTCCATACTTTTGCTAGGCACCAGAAAATAGCTCTTTTTGCACTGATTGTGCTATTTCCATCCCACCGTCTGCAATTAGGGTTGCTTTTAGATCCCATTAAGTGTAGAATAACTTTAAAATACAAAATTTACCTGCACATAGCATGTGTAGAAACTGTCAGTT